AGTTTCGTTTTTCCTTCTTGCAAATATCGTTCGAGTTCATCCTTCAAGTTTTTTCTTTGTATTTCCTTGCTTTATACGAGTTAGAGAGATATTGATAGAGTTCGATCACGTTTATTGAAGAACTAGTTGGAGAATATATGATGGTGAAGAAATAGAGATGAGAAGATGGTGAATGAGTTAGACATGATACATGTTTAGGACTCTCGCTGTTAATAGAGATGATAAATTTGTTAGGGCTCAAAATGGTTTTCGTAAGCAATGGATATGGTATCGTAAGGCAATGGAAAAATAAAGAGACATGACAAGGAAAACTATGTTTCTTGAATAAGAGTAAACTATTTTACCATGATTGAAAAATCCAACAACGGTAAAATCCTATTTATTTATTTTAATTGAGTAAAGCGCAAGTTTTTTAACAATTTAAAAATAAAAAAGGCTTAACATTTCACAATGGTTGGAAATTTCAATCGTGAGAAAAAATGACTTGTTTTTTGTTATAAAATAAATTAAAAAGAAAAACACCTCTGTAATATTAAATAAAACACAAATTTACAGGCGTTTAGATTTGACCCATAACCATTATAGGATTTTTTCACGGTTTTTATATGTGATAAAATGTAAATTGTTTTTAATTTAAAAATAAAAAATAAAGTAGACTGATTTTTAAGATGTCATAATGGTACTTTTGACATCCGTGCTGTTTGTAGTAGACTAGTAGTGCCCCATTTTTTCTAAATAAACACTGTGATTTTGGTTGTAGTTGACATATTATCTAAGGAAGCGCACTTTAGGATGCTACCTACACATTCACTACTACCAAAGTGGAAGATTTATTCTCTCAAATGGTGGCCAAATTGCATGGTATGCTGATGAGCATGGTGTTTGACATAGACCCTATTTTCTTGAGTCAATTATGGCAATATCTCTTTCGTGTGTGTTTCACAAAACTCAGAATATCCACTACTTATCATCTTGAGAGTGATGAATAAACTGAAACTGTAAATTAAGTCCTCTAAGAATAATTATGTTGCTTTGTGAACGATCAACTAAAACAGCATGGATAGTTCCTGCATTCAGCAGAATGACAGTACAACACAACAACTCATACATCGACTGGATTTTCACCATTCTATGAGGTGTATGGCAGACCCCATATGACAATACCAAATTACATAGCAGGCACCACTGCACTACAAGTTGTGGACATCATGCAAAATTTGTGTCTGAGCCGACATATTTGATTAATCCAAGGCAATGTGCATCTTCCTCAAATCTGCAACAACAACCCAATGCTCAACATTAAACATCATGCTATACCCAACATTCAACTATGTCCACCCAATCAATCTTCCAAAACTGCAATCCATACATGCCACCAACCCAATCACAACAACAAGAGTCTTACCCCTACCGCCAGCCTCCCGAAACCGACACCACTTCTGCCTATAGCCCTGATAACTCTTTCGACCCTACCCCATCCACATATAGCCCAGATAACTCTTTCGACCCCACACTAGCCAACTATAGCCCTCCACGAATGAACACACAATCTTTCTACCAACAAAATACCTATCCATTTTTTTACTACCAAACCCCACAACAACCATTACATCGTTTCCAAGTCGATTCGATGTACCAATTTGGACAACCATACCGTCCACGTCCGACCCAACCTCCCCGTCCCAACTACGAAAACATGAGAATTGAACTTAATTACGGAAGTGCCGGTGGCAGCGACCCCCCGACTATTGGGGTCAAATGCTTCAAATATATCTGATACGTCAGGGCCATCTCAACAAATACCTCTTCCACAGGTCAACACGCAAAGACCAAATACATCTCAACAAACTCGTGGTAGACCTTGACGCCGTGCGAATCCTCTCCAATGTGGAACTGGTGGTCGTTTTGATAGAGTCAGTCGTTGATTTTCCTTTTTTCATTTGTTGTACACTATTTTTTCTTTTTTATATTATAAATATTATAATTTATTATTTCTTTTCATTATTTTTTTTATACAAAGTATTAAATAATATATAAAAAAAAACCCAAATGAGGCGCCATATGGTATGGCGCCTCCTCAGCAATCTTGAGCAACATTTTAAGTGTTGGCGCCATATGCGATGACGACTCAGTTCAAACCCACACCCATCAGCCATTTCATATGGCGCCTCAATGCTTGTTTATAGCCACTTTAGAATTTTTTTTTAATTCTCGGTTATAGTGATATTCTTTTTAAAAATTATAGTTATTTAAAAAAAATCCAAAATCTGATTAGGAGATTATAAAAAAATAAAAAAATAAAAATTCTAAGACATCAATGTTTTACAAAATAAAAAATGTAACTTTTATTTGAATTGATTTGGATACATGCAGAAGGACTGAACCCACCCATTTAAATCTATCTGGTTTGGGCCCGATGACCATCCAATCCATTTCAACTCAGCTCAATTTGGTTTTTCGAATTCAATTGCAAGATTGTTTTCTTTCTTTTTCAATAAACGATTATATTGAATCGGAGCACAAATTATACTCGAAACAAATTATAAGATCAATATAATTTAAGATATTTTATAGAATTTCTCCACCAATTATAAAAATACAACACCAATCCAATTCCAATTACATATTGTTATTGTCCCGCCCTAACTCTCAGCATAACATATGTGCTCTATTTGTCTATTTGTAAGGAGATATCGAATAATACTAGTTTGTCTCAAGGTTTGACCCATTTTTTAGTCAAATTACTCACTATTTTCTGTGACACTAGTTTAGTTGAGTTTATTTTATCATCTGTATAAATCCACACTTTTTAATAATAAATAATAACTTTATTTTATTGAAATAATAAATATATGTTTATTTTATTTTAAATCACTTTATGTGTTCTTTGTCTTTTCAATATATTCTTGTTTTTTCAATATATTATTGTTTTTCATCGTAAGCATTTCAATAATACAGTAGAAATTATAGAAGATATACCTTCTTCCAGTGTACACACAGCTCTTTTCCCAGCAATGTAAAAACATTGGTAGAAAGTAAAATGAGAAGTCAAATCAATTATGTAGCTTTTACAACTCTCCAAAACACAATGATCTTTGCACACATACATAAATAAATATATTTAATTATATCCAAAAATACTCAACCAAATAGAACAACTTGAAAATGATTCCACAAGAAAAAAAACCAACACTTGATAACAACATGCCAACAGCTAGCATATCAACTGTTTTGGTGAAGACAATCTTTATCAGGAACCACATCTTGCTCCCAGTACTCCATTTTTTTATGTCCTACGTTAGTAACATATACTTGTATTAACAACTGTAGTATGTAACAGTAACACCTTTAAATATCATACATAAATAAATAAAATTTAACAAAACTTGCATTTATTTTTATATATGTAAATATCATACTGTAGTACAGTATTTCTTAACAACGTGTGGTCTGCCACTGAGGAATTATTAGTTCCTTGAAATAAGGCACTATGCATGAGTATGAGTGGCAAGCAAAGGCTCACTCTAACACTATAGTATAATAATAGTAATATTTGCATAAATTTTTTTAGTGCTGGTATTTCTAATAAAGTATTCATTTTATTTTATAAATATTCAATGTGGATAGTTGATTAAATTGTTTAATTAATCTCAACAAAGATAATTTAGTAAATTTAATTTGCATTTTATATAAAATTTAACTAATTAGTTACACATAACTAGCCTTTTTAATCTCTGTAAAAAATAATTTTATTTATAACAATGATTGAAAACAAACTAACATTTGTAAAAGACAATGCCATTAAATTGATACAATGACCTGCAAATTTTTTTTACCTTTCCCAAAACTGGCTTCTCAATACAACCAAGTTATAAAAAAAAAGAGTTTTTAAACGTTATTTATTATTTCTTCCATTTCATAAAAATGGTTCATTTATATTTTTTATCGTCTCAAAATAAATATCTCTTTACAATATAAATATAATTATTTTTTTATTATTATACTTTTATTTATTATCTTTTACTATTTTCAACTACTCTACTAACTATAATTAATAGAGATATTTTAATAAATAATATTAATTTTATCATTAAAATTAATCTATCAAATTATTTTTTTAAAAAACTGCTCATAACTAAAATAAAACATTTATTATAATAATGAGTAAATTCTTGTTTACCTAATAAAGAATGAAATGGAAAACTATCTTTCTATTAGTTTTACATCTCAAAACTATAATACAAATTAAAACAGTTGTAATAAGCTATATATTTCAGTAAATATATTATTAGAATTTAAAAATTTGAAATGAATTTGAAGAAAAGTGATGGTTTTCTTTTTCATATCTAGCGTACATATTTATAGGGTAGGTAGTTTAAGAGAGTGTTTGTCTCCATGGATGAATGTCAGAAATGAAATGTGTTTCCTACGTGCATGGACCTTTCAAGCATAGTGAAAAACCCATCAACCCCATGTGTATTTTATTTACTACTCCTAGCTACCCTATTTTCCTAGCTTACACAACCTGAGCAAACCAGGGTCATATCATGTGAGTGCACACAGTAATTAATTTAGGATTCTAAAGTTAATGCCATTTAGTTACATTTTAGCACTTTAACACCACTTACTCACTAACACATGCTTTGTGTTATGCCACATTACTGACATGCTATTTAGGAGGGAACCAATCACCCCATACAACAACAACAACAACCTTATTCACTCCAACCTATGTACAATAATCAATCTAATCAAACAAAAACACATAAACTTGTCTTTTTTTTTTTCTTATAAATTTTTTATTCAAATCACTTCATGGTTTACCAAAGCCAATGTGAAAACAAAAAAACATCAACAGAAAAACAAACACATCAATGTTGTACTATTTCACAATAAATATTAAAAATAAATTTAATAATAATAAAGAGAAGAAAAAAAAAGAAAAAATTGTTTTTTTGTTATGACTTATGACATACCTGCAGGAAGAAAATGGAGGTTCTTCATTTTTTGGGTTTTCCTTTCTGATCTGAGTAGAGTTGCAAGCTGCTACCATCAAAAACAGATGAAAATGGATGGTGTTGAATCTGGTTGTGGTGATGGTGATGATGATTGTTCTCCATTGCAGGTGAACCAGAAGCAGGAGAAGAAGAAGTAGAAGCAGCACCACCTCCTCCTCCCATGAAAAAAGGTAGACTGTTGGATCCGTCTAAAGATGAAACTGAAAACCTCTGAAGATGAGACAGAAGAGACGGTGAATTGGACTGAAGGGTCCCCCTATTGTAACCAGCAAGGCCCGATGAGATCGTAAAATTCAGATTATAATCGCTTGGTTGAGTAGAAGAAGAAGTAACCACGTTTTGCATCATATGATCAGGTATGAATGAGAACTGATGCTGCATCTGATGCTGATGTTGATTCTGATCTGCAGAATGGTTTTCGCCACTGCTGAAGGGTGAAACTGAGTTAGACATTGTCATGGATTGATGATCATGAAGTGAATGTCCTAAATGATGATGTGTTCTTGAAGAAGGAGTTCCTATAAGCACTGGACTAAAGTAATGATCCATTGGTGCCGAAGAAGAACTCCATTGTTGTTGATGTTGCTGTTGTTGTCGAGCTTTGTTCAAGAAATTCGGTTCTTCAACTGACCTTCTTGGACTCCTTGCTGCTGCATTGTTGATTCCACCGGTAAGAAGTTCAGTGAATGAAGCAGTTTGAGAAATGGAACAAGAGTTAACATTCTGGTGCTGTTGATGGTGTTGATGATGAAGAGGATTATTAACATTGTTGTGACAAGAATCATGATTTTCCTTTTCCTTCTCTTTGGCCGTTCTTTCTCTCGCTCTTTCCCTAGCCTTAACTCGGCTCACACGAACATCAGATCTCGAAAGGGACAAACCCGAACCTTTACTTGTCTCAGAAGTGCTACTACAACCAGATTTAGACAAAGAAAGATTCTGGCTTTGATGATAATTATTCTCACCATTCTCCACAACCATTTCAGCATCATGAACCGAATCAACACCGCCTTGTTCACTTGGATTGTTATTATTATTATCAGCGAACAAGGAGTTGTTGAGTGAAGGTAATTCCGAAATAGCATCAGAAGCTGATTTTATAAGCCATTCAACAGCTTTACTTGGTTGGTCATAACCCAACCTATCTTGAAGATCATAGAATTGAATAGCGGTTGTAACAGAAAGCCTAACCCTTCTGTCTCTTAAACCCTTTGAAGTCATAACCTTGCTATGCCTATCTTTTCCACCAGAAGCTCTTGACACCCTTATGATTCTAGATGAATGATGGTGCCAATTATTGAACCTGTTTAAATTCCCATTTTCTTCTTCGTTTCCAACTCTTGGGAATTTACATGATTGTTGTGCTTGAATCTCATCCTCCTCCTCCATACCAAAATCATGCCTTTGCAAAAACAAACCAACTTGGCTTTTTTTACTTCCCTTTATTTACCTTTGATTTTTGTGCACAACTCTAGAGAGAGAGAGTGTGTCTGTGGGGTTAACACTTAGCTAGCTAATATGTCCTTTGCATTGATGATGAAAATTCAGAGACTTGTTTGGCTGTGTAGTGAAAAAAAGGACTTTTTTTACACTCTGATATATCACGGTCCAAGTCAGGAGGCCCTTGTTTAGCTTTTTGCAGTTTTGCAGAATAAAACGCTTTCAAAAAGCAAACCAAACCACTCCTGCAAAACTCAAAACCAAACACACCATTAAGCAGAAAACCATACAGAATTATATTGCATTCAATTTCAAAAACAAAACAAAGTTAAAACACACTATCTATAGTACAAAACAGATATAAGATCTGAATATGTTTATGTTTAGCATCATTCATAGCTCATCATAGCTCATGATAGCCTAAAATCTTTTTTTATCAACATAGCATAGAATAGAGCCTCAAAAAAACCTACACCATTTTATGAAAATACTCAAAACTTATAGACCTCTACATATTTGCACCATAGATCTGAACCTTTCTGCTTTGTTTTTAAGCTAAAAAAAAGATGCAAAATTTGCATAAAACTATCTATCCGATCTGAACCAAACCCTTAATAGTATTTATAGCTTTTGCTTTTTCATGTCCTTAAAAATAGCATACATTTTTGTTTCATTAGATTAGAAACCAGCTACAAGGTTTTGAAACTCACATGCTTATTTAATGAAACAATATTTCAGAAATGATTAAAAAAAGTTGAAGGGTACAAATACAATACAGCTAGGTTATTACTTAGAACAATGTTTGGTCGGAGTTTTTGACAGGTGTTAACCTCATAAACAAAGACAGAAAAGAAAGAAAATAAACCCAGTTTTTTTTGTTCTTGTTGTTGTTTCTGATTAATCAACAACTTCTGTGTCCCTCAAACACCTCACAGATCTGTGGTTCCATTGAAACAAAAAAAAAAGCATAAAATGAGGTTTCATTATTATTATTATTAATTGTAAAAGACAATACTTTTTCAGATCACAAGTAAAACCCCCATTAAGGCAACAAAAAAAATCATGAATATAAAATTGAGAAGAAAAATATATACGAGATAAGACCTTCTTTGCTGCCTGATTTTCAGGGAATTGCTGAATTTCTGAAATTGTCTTTCCTTGAAATGCAAAATAGATAAAATTATAAATTTTTCTTTTTGTTTTTTGTTTGTTGTTGAAGAAGAACTTCAAGATAAAAGCTCAAATCCAGTACAAAAGTATGTTAACATTTTTGAGTTTGATTAACAGTTACAGATATTTTTTGTTGAACTATAGTGAGAGAGAGAAAAAGAGTGAGGTGCACAAGAGAAGAATGGTCTAGGGTTGGTAGTTGAGTGGGTGAGAAACAAAAAGAGAGTGAATATATGAGAATTGTGTGAGAGGTAGAGAGAGAAGATGATGATTAAGAAGGAGAAAGATTTGAAGTCGCCATTGGAACAATGAACGAGCTTATCGGAAAAGACCAGACACGGTGCTGTTACACATTGTATGTATCTTATACTCTTTCAAATTTGTCCTTGTTTTTTCTTATATTTACTTCAATACCTTATCTATACTCTCAATTACTACTTGCTACTATTATACGTATTTTTACAAATGTTACAATTATACTTTATATCAAAATAATTATGTCATTTTTATTTATTTAATAGTTAGAATCTTACTCTTTAACATGAATAAACAGATAATGCAATTTGTTCCATTAAATCAATTTAGTGGGTAGTTATTCAAAAATATCGTATATAAAAGTGTAAATCGGAACTCTCACATTTTCCTTTCTTTTTATCTTTAAATAGTAAATTTAAATTATTAAACTATTCGGAATAAAAATAATGCAAGTTCAGATTAATGCTTTTATAATCGGTTGTTTTGGTTGACTTGATGTGTGGTTGAATTGAAGGCGGATAGAATTGATTTTGTAACAATTAAAATATAATAATTTAAATTTGATTCTTACTACCCTCAAAAACTATAAATGGTAGATTTTAAGATAATTGGTTTTGAAGGAACATAATTGATTTTAGAGAAAAATCTTTAAAAATGACAATTTTTAGGTTGCAGTGAATAGAAGTACTTTTGGAACTTATAAAACCCAATTCAAACATGCACTTAGTAGAATAATTTTTAAAAGATATTATAATTTTGTATATCTTATATTTAGGCTGTCTTGTATTTAACTATTTCATTCATATATTTTAATAAAAATATATATTTTTATAATTAAAACAATTAATTATTTTTTAATAACAACATTTAATTAAATAAGATATTAGACAAAAGAAATACGTGTATTATTAAATTAAAAAAAGTTGATTTAAAAAGCATTAGAGGTGCATAACAAATAAAAAATCTTTAAAATATGAATTACACATTCGAAAAACTTTTTTTAAAGTAAGGATTTCAATGAAAGAGTATTAGATATACTCTTATCCGATTATAAAAGATCGAGAAAATTAACAAAAAAATAAACATTTTCAACCAACAGCAATTTAAGCTAGATAATTTATGTGATCCTAACAAAATTCATAAAAATTACAATTGAAATTAGGAATATCTCCTATAAGGGACTATTTCCACATCTTCGGCTTAATAGACTAAACCAAATCTAATATATTATTAATCGCATTTTTGAACAAGATCTCATTCATGTGGTTCTAGATACACCAAACAACTGCCAACCACACCACTACTCATTCTTTTCCCTTTTTGATGTTCTTCTTCCTAAACTATCTACTATTATGAAAGAAAAACCTCCAAGACGACCCCTCCCTTGACAAAGTAATGTCTAACTAATCTTCCACTTTCGGCCAAACCCTTTTTGCCACCTGACATTTGGAAAAAATGTGCTATAGTTTTTCGACAATTTGAAAGCACAAAATACATGATAAATCAATGGGGGTAGTTAAGATACCTCTTCTAGACAATTGATTCTTACTCGTGACCTTGTTTAGAAAGACCCTCTATCTGAATGCTTTTATTCTAAACAGCACATGAGATTTCCAAATTCTATTGAAAATCTTTGGTTTGTTTTCCTCTTGTTATTCGCTATCTGTTTCCACACAAATCAAATTGTGCCTAGATACAGTGTATCCCTCTAAAGGTTATGACAACTAACTAGTATTGTCTTCACCATCTTTAAAAGGACCAAACTCTTCCAATAGCAAGCAAAGGATAAAATGCAGGTCGTGAAAACAAACCAAGCTATTGGGAAAAAAATCATCTAAAAATTATCAAATCACAGATCCTCAAAAATCACTTTCTCGAACATGTAACAACACACCCTCGTCAAGGTCCTATTGAGTCAGACACATAAATGATTTTGTCTGTCATCCATAAAAAGTGCAAGAATAATATGAAGTTCTACCAATATACCATTTTCAATAAGAGAACATGTTTTTATCCACCAGATCCTTGATAATCTCTAACATGCTTAAGAAGATATAATTATTTTGAAATTTCTAAATGGCTCACACCACAACGTCAAATCTTAGTCAAAACAACTTTAGTCCTAAATTTAGTTTTTAAGGGTCTAAGCAATCCAAGCAACGAACAAAGGTGATTAGGAAGAATCAACTCCCACCTACACCTCCCACTTACACCTCTTGAAGATCTTATACCACAAATTAGTCATTGTTTGAACAAAAATATGAGACATAAACTTTATGGATATATACAAAAAGTACGAGAAATATCGTCTAGGTCCATTATGACATGACATCTGAAAGAGGTTTTGTCTAGTGAGGATCATATTATAAACGAGTTGCCAAGAGAAGACGGTAACGACAAACATTAGTCAATTGATATAGATATGAGGCAGAAGTCAATTTCATTTTAGGAGTTATCCTCTTAAAGGCTAGAATAATGAAGACAATCTTAACGAAATAAGCACCATTCTCACCATGACACCACCACTCGTGGTCTTCATCTTGAAAGAGTGTGGTGTTCTGAGTGATAAAAAAAAGGTTATTCAACAACTTCTATTAAAAAAAATTCATTGTTCACACGTGGTCCGAAATTCAGACTTAATCCTCACTAAACCTCAAGATTCTTACTTTCTAATCTTACTAAGTAGAAATTTATAGGAGTTTAAGAAAAATCTCTCAAAGAACTGCATTTATCCAAAGATCGTATTGGAGGGAAGTAAGAAAATTATATTTATCTTTCTAAACACAACGTCTACAAATCAATCAGATCCGACATCTTGATATGAGCCTAAGAAAGAGATTCTTTGTCAATAGGCTATTTCCAAAGAAAAAGTAAGGAGACAACCCTAATCTCATATCTAGTAGTTTAGTTTTAATTCCTATTATATTTGTTTGTGTTAAAATTATTCATTTAGTTTGTAAACTATTTAATTATATTCTATCAAATGCAAAAATATGTATTAAAACTAATTACTCTCTCCATTTTCTTGTATAATAATTTTTATTTTTTAAATTCATTAAATAATTAATATTTCTAAATTTATATATAGTTGAAATATATCATCTATTTAATAAATTAAAAAAAAAGATTTATTTATAAAAGAAAACGGAGGGAATAGGTTACATAAACTATAGCATATAACACTAAAAATAAATAAAAGTTGTATATTTGTTAGGATTTAAATCAAATAAAAAATAAAAATAAAAATAAAAGAGTAATATTTAAATTTTATCAAACAAAATTTTATTTTTATTATCATTTTAGTCATCAATTTTTTTAATCATTATTTTAGTAACTTGTTTGTTTTGGTTTACAAATCTCAATATGTATTACAAAGTTTAGGATAATTAACAAAATTAGCGAAAAACAATTAAATAAACTGTCTTTAGTGTTGTTTCTAATTATTTGAGACACAAAAATTGAAGAAAAAAAATACTTTTCCAATCTCTAATTAGTGACTCAATTTTTCCAGTATTAAAATTAGT